ATTTGATTGCCTTCAGGATTAAATGTAGCTTATGATGATAGAAGTTGTGGGTCAAAATAATCGTGGAGACTTAAGATAGCTGCCTTCACAAGTCCTCCCTATCGTTACTAGCACATTCTTCAGAAGTTTGGATTACAAAATTCTCTTTGAACATTTCTCTAAGTTTGGTACAGCAGCAATCAAGGCCTTAAAAACAACCCATATGAATTATGCAGACACTTCCTACTTTTTTCCAGTAGATCGGCACTGATTGATAAGAGCAAGTGTACTGTCAGATTATTTTTTTGAGCTCCAAAGGAAACCGAGCCTTCGCTATAGAGAAAAGATGGTGCTGTATTACAAAAAGTGTGGCAAAAATTATTTAACAAACTTGTAAAAAAGATAATTTAGACTTGCATAAGCATAAAGTTGTGTTGTAGGCAATAGTTAATCCCATAGGAGAATTCAGAAAGTGAGGACTCATTCAGGCATGTCCTTTCATGCCAAAACAGTTGTTCAGAGATCAGACTCTCATTACTAATTCAGGATGTTAGACTCTCCTTCATTTGTTCTGTGCATTACTTCTTGGAGGAAAAAGCTTGCCCCGTTTGGTAGTAGCAGCACATCAGCTTATTGTTTCCAAGTTTAATAAAAATTAAAACTCTTTACATCCGTGTTCGTAAAAATGGTTGCCTTTTAGAAGACACAGAGAGAAATGTTGTGCAACAGCCATGAATCATTTTTCAGATGTACTGAAAGGGATTATGGGTTTTATTTTACCAGTTTATTTTTAAAGGTAACTCAAAGTGTTCTTTAAAAATTGGGGTTATATGATTATTCTGACTTAATACAACCTTGTTCTTATTGAAGAAGTGGGTAGTAAGGATCAGTCACTAGACCGTCTCTAAACAGAGCAGAAGGATTCTGATACAGGGTTTGGATCTGCTCTGGCTTTTAACCATACAGGTGTTGAGCCTTGCTCTCCCTAATTTTTGCTGGAGGATCTTTGGCGATTTGTAACTGTCTCAACTGCTCTCACTGTAACAGTGGTGTAGGAAAATACTGCAGCTAAGCTTGGGACAAGACTTGGTAAGAGGGAAGGGTAGTATTAACCAAAACTGAGTTTCCTCACTCATAGATTTCACTTGCCACGCTCTCACAGCCCCATGTAGTCACCAAGATGGGTGTATCCAGGCGGTAGAGCCTCGATCGCTTGTGTGCAGCACCGAGGATGAGGAACTCTGCGTGTTGGGTGCTCACTGTGGGTAGTGGCACATTCTGCCACGTTGGCTCCACGCTTCCTCTTGGTGGGCGATGACAAACGGGTTGTTAGAGAACTGTTTTCTAGCTTCCCTTCAGAATCAAACAGTTTGGAGCGGGGCTTACTTCAGCTGCCATGAATCTTGGGCGAGGTTGCACAAAAGCGTCTTTGCTCCCTCCTTCTGGGAATCTTTGTGACTATAGTCTGTCTTCCTGTTGGCATAACACCAAGAGGAGTGGCAGATGTGATGTGGTAACCTGGTCATTATCCTGTTACCAGAGCGTATGTGTCTTCTGCTGATAAACCACCTTTGCTGGGGCCTTGACTGATTAGGGGCCACCTTGTGATGTTAGCAACGCATTGCAAAATGTTTACTGGCTTGGTTCCTGTGCATCCTGTCTTTGTTTATCAGGGCATGCTATTTTTGGAATGCCAGATACTTCCATGCACACCTAATTCATCCTAGTTTTAATATTTTGGTTATAAATCTTTGTAGTGAATGAGGTGTTAAGTCTTCAATGGATTTTTTTTTTTTTTTAACTCAGGTCTTAATTAAGAGGCCAGCAGAAATGAGATGCAAACACTTTCTGAACAAGTCTTTTCCTTATGTGTTTCCATGTTCATTCCGTGAGACTGGTGCTGTTCTCACTTTACTACTTTTGCAGTCACCGGAGTTCTACCAAAGACTGGTATTTCTAGTGTTAAGAACAAGAAATAGGTTGTCATTTTCTTTAAAAATGTGTAGGAGTTACCTACGAGAAGAACATAGAGTAAGGAGAGGGGAAAATATGTTAAATTAATTGAAATACCTTATTTTTTGTCAGACTTCATCCATGTATTCTAGGTAAGGAGGTTTGAAAAATCTGTGTTTAAGCCATTTAAGCAACAAATACTTGCTTAAATATGTGCTCAGGCTAGATAAAACAACATGTGTGGTGCAGATGTGAGTGGCTTCCGGGTGAGGGTATGCATCCCCAGAAATCCCGGAGGAATTAGATGCACAGGATGTGGAACCTGAGAATCATTGCTGAGGGGAAACATGGATGCAGCATGCAGAGTAGGAAGGGGAGTTAGGGGAAGGAGTAGGTTGTAAGGAAGGAAGACAATCTAAACATAGGCCTTTGTTGTGAAAGAGGGTTATTTCAGTTAACCTGTACAAATCAGGCGTTTTCAAATAGCATATTTATGATGCAAGAGAAGCGTGTCTGCACGTGTTTGTTACTAGTGCGCTTACAGCCCTGCAAGCTGTGTCAAGCTTCTCTGGCACACGTGCTGCGGGACAAGGTGTTTCAGAATCAGGCTGTTCCTTTGTCTTTTTGTTGAGTTTGCTTTTTCACCTCCTTTCTAACTGGTATTCTACCAAAGATGCATTCAAGATTGCTTGCTTACTCTGCCTAGTCCCTAATTGTTCTGTCTGTCAAGTATTCGAGGGTTTTAACTTGCCAGTTACTATACATTTAGCTTTTCTTTTGAAGGTATTGTGGGTACGTGATACATCAGTTCACCTGAAGAAGTCAGAAAAGGATTGTATGAATTTGTGCATTTCTGTCAAATGAGTTTGTAGCAGAATATCTCAGTTGTATCAAAAAGTGTCCTTTCCTGTCTAAACTTGGGTATTGTTTGCTTCTGTAGGCATCTAGAATCTCTGTACTACAATGATTCTACTTCACTGTTGCCTGCGGGTAACAGGGAGATCTCCGTGCGTACAGTGGTTGAAAATTTTATTGGCTAGTTTCAAATACAATTTATAGAGTTGTTCAACGGTTTTTTTGCTGTTGGAGATGCAGAAATAATAACAAAAGAAACCGCTTCCAGGATCTTAATGGAGGAAGCAGTAATAGTATGGAAGAATAGTGACAAAAAGTCCCAAGGAATCTCTACAGTATATGTAAATCATAGAACCACAGCAGGGTTTGGGTTGGAAGGGCCCTTAAATATCATCTAGTTCCACCCCCCCTGCCATGGGCAGGGACACCTTCCACTAGACCAGGTTGCTCAAAGCCTCATCCAGCCTGGCCTTGGACACTTCCAGGGATGGGGCATCCACAGCTTCTCTGGGCAACCTGTTCCAGTGCCTCACCGCCCTCTCTGGGAAGAACTTCTTCCTGATATCCAATCTAACCCGCCCCGCTTTCAGTTTAAACCTGTTCCCCATTGTCCTATAACTACAGACCCTTGTAAATGTTCCCCCCCAGCTTCCTTGTAGCCCCTTCAGGCACTGGAAGGTGCTATAAGGTCTCCCCAGAGCCTTCTCTTCTCCAGGCTGAACAAGCCCAACTCTCTCAGCCTGTCCCCATAGCAGAGGGGCTCCAGCCCTCTGAGCATTGTCGTGGCCCTCTAACTACTAAGAAGTCCAGAATGGAAAACTTCTAAGTTTGAAAATGTATGCCTAGAACATAAAAGATATACAGTTAATTCAGTCTTAAAGGTGATAAGGCTAAATCTACGTGGTTAGAGCTTGGCTATTTGATTTCAACACATAGTAAAACTCGACAGTTAAGCAGTGCTACTGATGTAAGCAGCTACTCAGAGCACATCCGTGTATGGAACTGCGTCGGTCTTGCATCACCCTGTGTCAGGCTGGCCATCATTTTGTTAGAGAAAATCCAGCCTCTTGGTGGGAAGTTAAAATTTAGCATTACTTACTATTTCATAATTAAATGTTTTTAAGGCTGGTTGTCCTTGTCGGTTTAAAACGAACGTTAATGTTGGGATATTTCAGGGAATTTGTCAGACCCCTGTGATTCCTGTCTGATGAAACTTAATGGCTTTGGGGGTGGCATGTGTGGGAACAAAACAAACAAACAAAAGTGTTTTCTGATCTTACTCTTTCTATTATCTCCACTCCTTCAGGATGGCACCCGGCCCCCACTAGATACTGATGTAAGCCTTGAAGAAATTGCTTACAGCCAGCATTGTGACTGTTATACGTGAGTAGCTTCTAGTTTTGACTTTAATATTTAATGTGCAGTGCCAGCAGCCCTCTGATGCATGGTAACATGTGTTTTGTAGGTGGATCTCTTAACTTTCAGGGCTGAT